AATTATGATTATTTTGTTGCGAAATATGATTAAGCAAGTTCGAATAATTTAAGTTCGAATAATTTAAATTCGAAAATTCTCGCCCGCGTGTTGTGCTTGTTATATTTCTACTGATATTTTGTTTAGATTTATATTTGTTTAAATTTTCATTAGCTCTGTTAAAAATATTTGCATAAAATTCATTGATTATCCAATTATTTAATAATTTATGAAGTTGATTTGCAGAAGGGCGCCCAGGAGAGTCTGCTTTCATGCATTCATTTGCTAAGGAAATGTAAAGATCAGGTACTTCTTTAGAAAATTCTGGACGGACACCATCACATATTTTTCGCATAAGGCAAAGATCATGCGCTTGATCATGGAAAGGTAATTTTCCAGCTGAAATTTCCCACATAATTATGCCAAATGAGTAAATATCAGATGCTGTAGTGTAAGGTCCCCCATTCAAAACCTCAGGAGCTATATATGGTATGATTCCGTGAATGCTATTATTTTGTTTTACCTTTAAATCTCTATTGGCTGATATTAAAAGTCCTAAATCTGCAATATACGCATCACTTAATTTTTTTTGTAATATGTTGCCACTATGTAAATCCCGGTGGATAAGATTCTGAGAATGAATCGTATGAAGATCGAAAGCAATATCGCGTAATATTTTTAATTTGTCTGTCCATTTCATTTTTGATATTTCACTTAGATTGTTACGCAAAGGACCTTTTGATGCATATTCTATAACAAGAATATAATCACCAGAATTATGTTTTGATATTCCATAACATTTTAAAAATACGGGGTTGTTATGATTAATATCACAAAATGCTTTCAGCTTTGTTTAAAAAAAAATACACATTTAGACAATCGATATATAGTAAACTTAAAGGTTAAAAAAACTCGAATGAAAACTACCTCTTTTGTAAATTCTTTGTATTCTTTATCTTTTGAATCATGAAGTAATTTAAGAGCAACTTCTCTCGTTGCATTATGTGGATCTTGCCATTTAGCATAGTATACTGTTGAAAACGCACCGCTCCCTACCATTTTAATATCTTTAAACTCATTGAAAGGGATCCATGACAATGAGTAATCGTTTTCAGTCAATATTTTTTTTAAATTATCGTCAATATCAGCAGTTCTCTGTGCCCATTCTCCTGTGCCTAAAAATTTCGATAGTTTAATTACTACAAATAATAATAATAATAATAATAATAATAATAATATTGACAATAATAGTAATAATAATATTGACAATAATAATAATAATAATATTGACAATAATAATAATAATAATAATAATATTGACAATAATAATAATAATAATAATATTGACAATAATAATAATAATAATAATAATAATATTGACAATAATAATAATAATAATAATACCTGATGGTGAAGCGTTTCCCCTAAATTGTTATGTAAACGCCATTAGCAATCATAATAATAAATCAATGGTAAAAATAAATTACTTACTTTTTATACCAATAATCGGCTTTAGATTCGTCCAATTTAACACCAACACCATTTCGGTAACAATAGCCAAGTGTAAACATTCCATTAACATTGCCCAAATTAGCAGATTTCTGAAAGTAAGCAAAGGCTTTACATTCGTCTTTTTCAACTCCAACTCCATCAAGATAACAATTACCAACTTTAAGCATTCCATCAGCATTTCCTATATCGGCCGATTTTTGATAATAAATGTATGCCTTATGTTTGTTTGCTTCAACACCGCTTCCATTTAAATAACAATCTCCAAGTTTACAAATACCAATTTCGCTTCCTATTTCAACAGACTTTTGATAATGAACGAATGCCTCATGGTCATCCTTTTTAACACCAATCCCATTTCGATAACAATCACCGAGATTACATACACCAGCCGCATATCCTAATTCAGCCGATTTTTGATAATAAATAAATGCTTTAGTTTCATTCTTTTCAACACCAATTCCGTTTAGATAACAATCGCCGAGTTTACATGCCCCGATTGCACTTCCAATTTCGGCTGACTTTTGATAATAATTAAATGCTTCATATTCATCTCTCTTAACACCAATTCCATTTAAATAACAGTTACCAAGACCGCATAATCCATCAGCATTTCCTAACTCTGCAGATTTTTTGATAATAAATGAATGCTTTAGACTCATCTTTTTCGACACCGATTCCGTTTAGGTAACAGTTACCAAGACTAAACATTCCATCGGTATTTCCCATCTCAACAGATTTTTGATAATGAATGAATGCTTGATGAATGTTTTTTTTTAACGCCAACGCCATTTTGATAACAATAACCGAGACTAAATGTACTTTTCGCATGACCCATATTAGAAGATTTTTGATACCAAGTAAATGCTTTAGATTCATCCTTTTTGACACCAATTCCATTTTGAAAACAATAACCAAGACTATATATTCCTTTTACATGACGCATTTTAGCAGATTTTTCGTAATGAACGAATGCTTCACGTTCGTTCTTTTCTACACCAATTCCGTATAAATAACAATAGCCAACGTTATACGTCCCATCGACGTAACCCATATTAGAGGATTTTTGATAATAGTTAAAAGCCATGAATTCATTCTTCTTAACACCAATACCCTTTTCAAAACGAACACCGTCAGAAAATACCTTATAGGAAGATTCGTCAACTTTATTTGAACTAGTAAATATTTCTCTAAGATAATAAAGAGTACAGTACGTGAATTATAATAGTTTATTAAAGGATTTATTCAACTAATAGTTTATTCACAAACCTAGCCAAAGTGGAGAATGATTTTTTTGACGTTACTAACTGTTGACTCATCTGCGGAAGCTTTACTTTGTTCTTTAGTAATCTGCTGAAAGATTAATAATAGATAAATTTCAATAAAAAATTTTTCACATACAATAAAATGTAGAAGATTTACCTCCTGTTCAAGTTGATATGGATCAATGAGTACTTTTTTAATATCTCTACAATTAATGTAAAATTAAAAGAAATATATAATTAATAAAGCAAACAATAATTAACAATGATAAACAATGATAAGCAATGATAACAATTAATAAAGTAATTAAGAAACCTGACTAAAGTATTGAATGCCTCATCGACGTTGATACCAGACCTGGCACTGGTTTCTAAAAATTTGATTCCAAATTCGTTAGCTAAAGCTTGGCCTTGTTCTTTGGACACTACCTGAAAATTGTAAAAATAAATTTTAAATTGAATTCTTTAGATTTCGTTCAAATGCAAAATATTTACCTTCTTATCATCATCACATTTATTTCCAATAAGGATAACGCTTACTCCTTCACAGACATATTGTTTTATAAAAGCAAACCATTTTCTTGTGTCTAATTAATCATATAAAAAAAAAAAATTAAAAATAATAATGAAGTACATATAGATCAGTGCGTAAAATTTTATAAACGTAAATCTGCTTTTTTCCAGCAACGTTTATTATCTGGAGAAACCGGAAATTTTCAGACTATTTTTAAGATTTTGTGCACCTGCATGTACATATGCATATCGATATCAATACTGTATTAGCGTCTAAAATATTCAAAAAAAAAAAAGGATACTATCAAATGATTTTTTGTCAGTGACATCATACACTAGGAATATACCCATTGCATGAATATAGTGAACTTTAAAAGTGTTATATGAAAAAGTATTAGGTATAAAATAAATTTATAAAGATCATTTAGCAAGAATAATTAATGAATAAGAAATTTACGAGTTATAATGCCAGAATGTTTCTGGTTGACTGCATCCCACGTGTCAACCCTGATTTTGACATCGTCAACAACAATGTCTTTAGTCCTATAATCAACACCACCATTGGTAATAATATAGGACAATGGAAAAAAGCCATCGTAGAAACGAAGAAACAATCGTGATTTGCCAACTCCTGCAATGAAATTTAATGAATAAAATTTATACAGTACATAAAGAAATTTCATGGTGCACAAAATTTTTAATGCAACCTGAATTTTTTCTTCCGGCAACTGTTTTTTTTTTGTTAACCGGAATTTAGAAATCAAAAAATTTCCGACTATTAAATTACGTCAGAATTAATCTTGTCTAATCGGAAATTTTCGACATTGTTTAATAAATTTGTGCACTATGACAAACTATTTCTGATAATATATATATATATTGTCTATAGCCATAAATGTGCTAACCTGGATCTCCGATTAACATAAGCTTCATAAACGACATGTTCTATTCTTAACGTTAACGTTAATGGCTACTACCGTATATTGGTGTATTATAATTATATATTTTTTAATGAGCGTAAATTAGTGAGTGAATTGCAAATTAAGATAGAATTTAATAATATTTCACTTACAAGACTCTGATAATATCAATATATAGAATTTAAAAAGTTAATCTGATAATTTTAATTAAAAGAGCGAAAACCAAACTATATACAAAAGTTGGACTTTGAACGAAAAGTAAATAATATCATGCAGTGTAATATGCAACACCTAAAACTAGGAATTTCAGGTAAATGAACAAAACCATTCTTCAATATTAACCTTTGCGGTTGAACCTTGAATAATTTGGTTAAATTCGAAGCCGAATCTGGTTTAAAAGTTTGGAAAATGGGAAGCAAGATGTAGTTTATGGTAATATCACTAACACTAACATATGCTAATCTTTTTTTTTTTGCATGTACGTACGTACGTACATACGGGCTGGAAATTCCGTCCGTTATAATAAATATCCTCTATAGTATTATACTGTATACGTAGTATATTCTAGAGAATTACTCTATTATAGTAAGAAATCTGCTTTAACGGGTTCTTTATACGTAACAAGCATAGAGTGTAGCTGTTAAAAGCCAAAGTGATTTTCGTGATAGCAAATATATTTTTTTTCAAGACTTAAGATAGGTTATTCTTAAATTGTGTTTCAATTTATATAATTTTAAATAAATATAACAACAAACAGATTGTTCTATTAGAAAACATTATTTATTTACACACTATACAGTACTGGCGATGCTAATGGTTTTAATATATAAATAAACGTTCTTGATTTATATATTTTATATTTATTAATAATTTAAAAGATTAAAAATACTAATTAAAATATTTGAGTAAAAGCGTTAGGAACAAAATAGTTTTTAAGGCTTACTAAAATACTAAAATTATATATCTATCGAGTCCGGGAAGCGGCAATATGGACTTTGAAAATTTGATGATAACATAGCAGGCTTTCATTGTGATTGGCCAATTTTTGTAGATCATCCCGTGATGTAGTAAAAGTTTTTATTAATCGAAGTTTAAAACTTTAACTAAATAGTCACGAATAAAAAAAGCTGATACAGGTTACCCCTGTCAATATCAACCTCGTTAATATCAACCTAAGCCACAACCCAAATTTTAAAATTTTTATATATACATATATATCAACTTTAATATGATTTCTCGTTAACACAGCATCATTATCAACATGATTTAAAACCAATTCAAATAGGTTGATATTAACGAGGGTAACCTGTATTTATAAAAAGAACTATATCTATATCGAAATTAATACCAGAAAAAGTCTTTATCATGAATCTCGATAACTTTAAATCTACAACTATAATCTTGTCGCAGACAAACCAAAAAAAAAAAAAAAAAAAAAAAAAAAAAAAAAACCAAAAACAAAAAAAAAAAA